TGCTGCCCACATTTTACCATTCTGTCCGCTCGTGAGAAAGCTGCCAGTGATTTGCTGCTTCCGGTGCTGGTGAAAGGGATGTAGCGTTTAGATGCGCTTTACCTGACAGTTGCCTGGGAGCTCTGAGTAGCGTAATATAGCCGTCTACGGCAAAGTCGGCGGAAGATTCTGCAGTTCTGACGTGTTGTGAGGACGATCACGTCTCATGCTCTGAAACAGTGTTGGCCGGTTTAAGTTTTGTCGTTGGGGGTGGGGGAGTATCTCATATATCTATATCTATATGGTGACCAGAGAGTTCATTCTAAATGTGAGTCTGTCCCTCCGACACGTTGCTGGTGTTAACACGGTAACGCGAAGTTTTCTGACCAGACGTTTTGATCCCAGACAATCGGTGGTCCAGGAAAGAAATCGTGGGAACACTGTGTGCAAGCACTGTTGGGAACCAACCTACCCAAGGGCAGTGTGAAATATTCCTAATAAGATTCTGCGGAGGGATCGGCGTGTGCGTGCGGTAGTGTGATTCTACGGAGGAATCCGTGCGTGTGCGGTGGTCTCATTCTGTGGAGGAATACATGCGTGTGCGGTGGTTTGATTCTGTGGAGGAATGCGTGTATGCGCGACGGCTCGATTCTGTGGAGAAATCCGTGTATGTGCGATGGTCTGATTCTGCCGTCCCTTGATACATTTTGCCGGTGGATGGTCTCCCTTTATTTAATGAAATGGGTTAGAATGGACCCCCGGTGAGTCGTCTAATGGAATCTTACGGCCGGACGTAAATGTTGAATGGGGCACGTGAGGTGGGCGTACCAGGGCCGCACGCTGAAAGCGGCGCTTGGACGTCGTGCGTCCTCATCCGTGCACGGAGCTGTCTGCCAGGAGGACTCAAAGAGCACGCTGCAGAACGCTGCAGAGGACTCGGAGGACACGCTGCCGAGAGCTGCAGAGGACTCGGAGAGCACACTGCCGGACGCTGTAGAGGACTCGGAGGGTCCGCTGCCGAGGGCTGCGAAGGATTCTGAGGGTCCGCTGTCGAGGGCTGCAGAGGACTCAGAGAACCCGCTGCCGAGCACTGTAGAGGACTCAGGGGGCCCGATGCCGAGCGCTGCAGAGGACTCAGAGAGCACACTGCCGGACGCTGTAGAGGACTCAGAGGGCCCGCTGCCGAGGGCTGCAGAGGACTCAGAGGGTCCGCTGCCGAGCACTGTATAGGGCTCAGAGGGCCCGCTGCCGAGGGCTGCAGAGGACTCGGAGAGAGCACACTACGGGTCACTCCCTGCTAAGCGCCTCAAGCGTGTCTTGTACGCACGTAGGCGGTATAACAAGCCTCGTATTCTGTTCTTCGGCGTTGGCACCTGGGCTAAAGAACAGATAAGTTCCTCAAATGAAATGCGTTATAATTCGTGGATGTGATCTACTAGCACTAAACATAAGGATTACGTCTGCACCGCGCACACAGATGTAGAAAGTCACCGAAAGTCACCGTCACCGGACGGAGGGCAGGGCAGGACCGCGCGCAATGACAAGCACCCGAACGCCGACAAAGAGCGTATCAAAACCGTTACTTACGTCCCGTAATCACATACACCCATTGGTTTACAGAGCGAAAGCTTATCTGATCTGGGGCATGGCACGAGTGCCAGACGAATCGATCGGGATCAAAGCAGTCAGCTGAGCCGATCGGGAATGGCGTCTGAGCCGTCTTGTTCCAAATTTGCAACGCTTCCGCCGCCTGCCGGGTCGCTCCAGGAGGCGCTGCTGATCGAGGAGCGACGAGTCCTGAGTGGCTGCATAAATAGCGACTGCGGGCCCGTGCTGTCGCATCCAATCAGCAGAAGGGTACGCTGCGCACAGAATGCCTGCTGCTCTTACAAGAGCTGGAGTGGAGACTGAGAATGTCACGCCGCGCAGAAGCGTGCGTCTGCAAGACGTCCAGCCAGATCCACGTGTGCATCAGGCGACAGGTTCGGACGCGCAGTTTTTGCGGCACAGCTGAGGCATCTCACCCGCAATGGGGAGGGTATCTCCTTTTATACAACGCGATCGGTTCCATGTTCAGTTCCTCAAACGCGGGAGATTGCCGATGCTGTCGCTATGTGCCCACGCTAAGGGTATACCACGCACGGGTGCGTGCATGCATGCGTGCATGCGTGATCACGCTAAGGATCAACGAACGACCATATTCTAGCGCTGCTTCCGCCCGCGACACCGATTCTCGGCCGTTCATTCCAGGACATCCCCCCGCTGTGGGCGGCTTGTCAGGTGGTGAGGTGGGTGGGTGGGTCGGTGGGGACAGGGACGCGGTGCGGTCTGTCTTTCAGTGTGATGCGATCGTGCACCCGCAGCTGCAGCCTGAGGATGGCAGGTGTTGGGCTGTGCACTTGGCGCCCGGCTTTGTGCCGTTCGGGGTCACAGAATCAATTCTAGGGTGATCGAGAGCCCCACCGGCGCGTGGCAAACAGCTCCTGTGGATGGCTGAGCTATGGGTCTGTGGTCTGGATGGTCTGTGGATGGTCTCGGTCTGTGGATGGTCTGTCACGTGATGTGTCACGCGCCCACGCACTCCGCTCCACCCGTTCTGAACGATGAGATCGCAGCGAAGAAAATAAAAGGAAAACAACTTTAGTGATAGGACTTTTGCCACGCTTTCTTATTGGACAAACTGGGCTCTAGTCCGTGCTGAGCACTGCAGCGTTCCCTTAGTCGCCCGGTTTGTTTTGAATTCTCACTCCGCTCCCGTCTCTTGCCTTACTTCTCCCCCCTCCACCGTCTGCTCCTGACCGCAGGCTTTTGCTTCGGACCTCAGCTCGGCGCAGAGTGGGCGGCGGATGTGACTGGCTTCCAGGCGATAGCCGGGGGGAGACCATGCCGGTCGGTGATGCACGGGACGAGCGTGATGGTCCGCACTGTTGGTGATGATCACGAGGTCTCTCTGAAGGTGGCATTCGCACGATTGCTCGCTCACGTAATCAGCTTCATAATCATACTAATAATCATAATCAGCGGTGATTCTGTCACGTGAGACTTCATCATTGTTGTGCAGGCGGCAGATGCTATGTCATCACTGGATGCACTGGACCCTGGAGGGTGCCTGGGCTAACCGCGCTGGGTGACTTCAGTTACGTACATTGAAAGTTATGACAGTGGAAGTACCAGCCAGCCAAGCCTCACCGGCGCCAGACGGTACCCATGCTTCCAGCCCCTGGCCGACCGGATTCCCGCGACGCGATGTGTAGGACAGGTCCCATTCATTGCGCAGTGCACCCGTCCGTGATTCTTGAGAGCAGTCGGCAGGCGATGGGCGTGGCCAGGGTCCGTGGGCGAAAAGTCGGTTTGGCGCGTGGAGGTGTGAGGTGTGAGGCGCTTGGAAGTGCTGCGCTTGGAGATGTGGCGCCTGGAGATATGGGCCGTGGAGGTGTGGCGCGCGAAATCTCGTTCGTCGATGTGGGCACGTGGTCGATTCATGTGGATAAGCTCCGACGCTAGTTCGCAGCGAGCCCCTTGCAACCCTTGCAGATGGAACGTTCAAGCGTGCTGACGTCTCACAGGAACAGTTTTCGCCTTGTCTCATCTCCCGTAACTCTGCAGAACTCCTGCTGTGGCTGCAGTCATTGTTGGCATCGTTTACTTTCTCTTGGCGAGCTGTGGCTAGCTGCATAGTATTAGTGTCCGACCATGCGGACGACAACAATACCACCTGTGGGAGCGGGAGATCAGTATTGCATGCCTGACATGGCGCGGTGCTGGATGGCAATGTCGACGGTGGCGAATGGTGCATATGTACCGGCATCACCGGAGGGACTAACCCGCCTGAAGGGTTGTGGGGAAGACCAAGAAAAAGGCTGGCATGATTTGACGTGATCTGCGAAATTTTTGAGACATGACCACGATGTTTTCCGGTTCCTGCGAGGTGAGAGTGACCGGTGCATGCTGGCTGTACCGCGGTGGTGCGTGCTGGCTGTACCGCTATGGTGCGTACTGGCTGCACCGCGTTGGTGCGTGCTGACTGTACCGTGATGGTACGTACTGGCTGTACCGCGGTGGTGCGTGCTGGCTGTACCGTGATGGTACGTGGTGGCTGTACCGCGGTGGTGCGCGCTGGCTGTACCGCGATGGTACGTGCTGGCTGTACCGCGGTAGTGCGCGCTGGTTGCGCCGCGATGCCGGCTAAGCGTGGCGTGCAGTGCCCAGCACATTCGGTCCAGTTGCCGACCTGTAGCTCTTGGAGGTGAATAAAACATGTGGATACGCCTTGAAGCGATGGAGCGGCGGCTGCGCTGCGGGCCGACGAGCACGGCCGCGACAGGGGCGGCGGGCAGCGGCGTTCACAGGGATGTCCCTGGAGGTGACGGGAACAGTCCCGTCTACCAAATCCGCGGCGACTCCTTACCGGCCGGCGTGCGGGACGCGCCCCCTGCCGTCCTCTCCTGGGTCCGCGCCTGCACGAGCCGCGCTCCCGGGGCGTCGCGCTTCCTGGGCGCGGGCCTGGGCAGCCGCTCTCAGAATAACTCGGGCGCTGAAAACACACCGCAAATGGACCGGGCCTGGACGGGCTCCCGACTCGGCCCGGTTACACAATGGCAGCGCGCGGCGGGTCGGGCAGGTGGTGTCGCGACCCATCCGGGTTCCCGCGCGGCCTCGAGCGATGCGACGGGGGAGGGGGCGGGGGCGGGGGCGGGGGCGGGGCAGAGGCGGAAGCGGCGAGGCGCGGTCGGGAAATGAGGAACATGTGCGTGGGTGTAACGGATTACACGCACGCGTACCGGGATATTGTTTGTGGTGCACGTGATGTGTTCAGTTGAGGTGCAAAGTAGGGAAATGTGCGATGAACGCCACGCGATGATGTTCGATAACGTGCGCTTTCTAAATAACGAGTGTAAATGAACTGTAACTATGAATGTAAAAAGGCGGTCTGAAAACGCGTTATTGCGAAGCTTCCGTATGAAAGGCTTTCAAGAACGCCTAGGTGATCTATGAAGCTTTAATGTTCTGTTGTTTTCCAGGTGCCGGCGAGTCGGGGAAAAGTACAATTGTGAAACAAATGAAGTAAGTAAAAGGAACTGGTCCAAACGTTCGCCATGTTCTTCCTTCAGACGCTACCCACTGGTTCTGATGAGAGCAATGCTGCATGTACATTTGTATGCCGTTCATCATGGCTGCTTACTTTGCTTGATTTATGTCGCACTAATACAGCTGAAAGCCTGCCACTCTGCTACATGGGCGCATGCGCTAACAATTAGCTGGTCAGGGAGAGGAGTGGCGAGAACTAGAACTTCTGATCCGTTGCAAGGTTGTTTGTAATTGTCTTCGACTTTGGGGAATCGGGTGTGTGAGATGGCACGTCTTCGTCCACCGTTCTTACGCTTATGGAATAATTCGATGCTTGTCCAGAGCTGAACATATGCATACCCTTGCGCTTTACTGGTCTGGGTAAGGTATATCCTGCAAACGCGATTAAAATTTTAGAACTACAACATACTTGGCCAATACAATGCTGAAAATGTTTCCTTAACGTTATTGGCTTGTTTGAAAGCTGCCGCTGATAAGCCTTTCACCCCCACCGACATGGCCGCGGTTTGTTGAAAGCGTGGACAGCAATTCGTATCGGTGATAAGACACCGCGTCCAAAACTGTACGCTCTGTAATTCAAGATTCCAGGTTGAGAGCAGTCCGATCGGGTCGGTCCTGGTGCACTGGCTGGCGGGCTTTGATCGCCATGATTTATATCCAACAATTACTGAGATCTTAGATAGCATAATTTCCATAATTGGTAGTTTGGAGTTAACACTCAGGTGCCGTTTGTAGTCTTTCGCTCAGATTTGCTGAGTTCATTTTGGGTTCCAGACAGCTTCCTGCTTCTCTCATGTCCATGCGGAACTGTGCCCCTTAGTCTGGCAGAAGGAGGAGGGAGTGGAAGGCATGGGATGAGTCCCCGACTTGCAGAACTTAAGGTTACACTTGTTAAATGTGGATATCGCACGGAAAAACATGGAAAGTATGACTTCCCCGACCGTTTTCCTCAGCTTAGTTATACTGCGCTTTTGTGCCATGTGGCGATGAGGTTGAAGGTCTGTGCGGAATCTTTTCACAGGAACCGCGCTGTGTGACATGTCAACATGTCGTTTTTTACCTCAGCCATGAACGATTCTGACTTCACGTCATCCATGCGTGTTGTTTTGGTTAATTGTGCAGTGTTCTCCTGACTTTTGTGACGTCCGCTTAACGATCTGGCCTACTGTGACCTTCACCCTCGATGGATGTCTGCCGAGATCACGTTCTCTGGTAGAGACCTTGATAAACATCCTCGCATTTGCAGAATCTTTGCACAAGATAAGGTAGTAAGAACAGCACGTGAGCGATCTTTTTATTAGGAGTATTATATTATTATATGTTATAAGGATTGATCACGATAGGAGTATTCTGCGCGTGTAACATTGTTCTTCTTGGCTGGAACTACGCAGCTAATTTTCATAAAGGCCCAACCTAGACCGGCCGGTGTTTTATTATGATCTGCCAAGCGGCTGGCAAGGTTCCTCAGAAAACCCGCGACAGACATTACACGTCCTGCCCACTTTTCTCGCGAGGATGAACATCCAAAAACAGACAGATCTTGATGATCAACGTATATCTGGTACCGACAAGTGCTCCTGTTTCCGATGACGTACCGCGGGGCCTGTGCGCATTCGGAATGCTTTCAACCGCCGTGTCTCGTCTCTAGTCAAGGGAAGATGTTTTGGTTAAATAAGTGAATAAAGGTAAAATATATTTTAAGGTGAATGTATTGTTTTGTTTTGGCGCGTCTGTTTTGGCAGCCACAAACGGGAAACTCACGCCTATCGCCTGTGCCGCATTGCTACCGAGTATTGCGGCACAGTCGACCCGGACAGGTAACTGAGGTAAACGTTAGCAACTGAGAACTGCCAGAGCTGCGCAAACTCGCTCGCGAAATCCAAAACGTTGGCGCCTAAAACTGAGTGTTAACAGACAATGTGAGCCACTATGTACACACGGGAGATAATACACGGCTGCTCACGGACCGGCAATGAGCTACTGCAGGGCGGTCTGAGCATGGATCTTCACTGACAAAAATTGACGACTGCACCCAGGTCTTACCCCAACCATTCTGGTGTCAACAGACAGAGATTTTTAAGATTCACGTGACACGAGCATCAGCGTCCCCACCAGCGACGCTATCGTCGCCGTATGGTGTCGGCACCACCGCTCCAGCGACGTCGCCGTCACAGCCGTAGGCAACAGCGGCAACACATTCACCGCTCGCCGCGTCGCACCAACCGCGCCACAATCGCGCCGACTGCGCCGCTTTGCGGGCGGCCATTTTCAGCAGGCGGCGCGGCGCGCGCTCCACCGAGCAACCTCAGTGCGGCTGTCGGGGCCGGTTGGCGATTGGCGGCAGCCGGTGCTGGCGTCGTCGGCGGCAGCGGACCCCGAGACGGCGGCTGGAGAACGGCCGCCCGCTTTCCCCTGCTCTGGGCAAGCGAAGGGCAGCGTTTTGGGCGCTCGGTTGGCACGGAGGGTGTGCGTTTAGTTTAGAATGGAAATGCGGCACGATTGTTTGAGATGCAGCTGTTTACATGTAGCGCGTGCCGTTTATGTGGTTCAGGGTTATTCCCGGTTTAATGACGGATGTATTTCCTCGTTGGTTCCCCGCCTTTTTGAGAGTATAGGTAAATAGACCATAGTGAATGCATTTGTCAAACGTGCTCCTTATAACAATTCTAGCTAGCAACAAGGAATTGCCGTTACATCGACAAAATTGGAAGCAAGGCAATGCTAGTGTGCATTAGTGTGGCATTTACCATAGTGTTGTATCTCTAGGCTGCCACCAAATGCATGACAAATTTGACACATATGGAATGAGAGGTTCGTGAAAGAGAACGCTGACCGAAAACGCATTTTTCGAAATTCAGCCGGCAGCCTACCACACCCCGCTGCACCCTCGGCCCTCGTATGGTTTGCGAATCATGTGGGTTGCTACCTCTCATATCGATAGGCTTGTATCGAATGACATACAAGTACCGACATTACAGGATCGCAAATTCTGGGCAACAAATAATGCGTAGGCTGCCTTCGCGCCAAATCTGTGCAAAAATCTCCAAAAGTCCACCCAGGCCATATTGGTTTGAAAATCTTATGGATGGCCGAACTCATGCAGAGAAACATGGTCATTGGCGACCAGTCACGAATTCCAGCCTGGCTTTTCTTTGCAAAACAGCTTCTCTTTTCTCGTTTTTTTTACCATGGGTCTTCGCGCTGTTGCCATTATCTAGATTGTGTTGCATCTGCCAGCGACAACAGAACTGACGCGGATTTGTCATACCGCGATCGCTACGCGGCCAGTTGATCTCTAGACACCTGGTGCCGTATACTAATTTTAGGCATTGATGTTTCTATGGTGGATTCTTAAACTTAAAGACATTTCAATGCTTTTGAGCATGCAGCTTTCAATTTGTCTGATTCAAATTGGTTCAGCGTTGAATCACAGGACAATCACGGATTTGATTCCGTTCTGAATGAGGGCGTTAGCCTGCTTCAAAGCGAATCGGGGAAGTTTGAATCAGCTAAAGACCGCCCGAAACATGAGTAAATCGCTTGTCCGACTCGAACTGAGCACACCTCTGAGCAGGGTATTATTTAAATGTACGAAGCGCACTTGGATCATGCTCCATTTCACCCGCATCAAAGGTTTTCTTATGTCATCACAGATTATGCTTCTTATGCACTCAAGCTGATTCTGCAGTATGTGTCCAACGAAATAACGATTACCAAATACCGCTTGCTGCTGCATGGCCACTGATAAGTTGAGTCCAGTCAAGTACCAAACCTTTTCATTTTGCTTTTAAGTTGCAAGTGACTCGCTCAGATGTTGTGTAGCATTTGTGCATGACCGCCTATCCTGTATAAGGTGCTCCCAAGTTTGTTAGCTACATCCTCAGTGTATCCGTTTTTTGATGATCTGTGTGTGCCATGTTTGTACGAACCCGTTGTCAATCACGACCCCTGTGTTGTGTCAATGTTTAAGCTGGTGTCATTTTTTTGTGTGTAAACGTCTTGAGGCACATGGTACACACATTTTCCTCAAATGTCTGGTTCGGGAGAGCCCTGCAAAATCGCCTGCAGTTTTTTGCAAACAACTTGCTAGGTTGGACAATAACCAAAATGGTACAGTATGGTACACACAAATGCGTGTGTGATGTTGACCGCGAAAATGGCGGAGCCTTTCGGGCCGTTACACCACGGGCTGGGTTGAATTACCACCCGTAGTTTGCTCCTGCTGATCTATTCAGTATGATAGTGGAAGTACTATGCGCCTCTAAGCAGCCATGACCTGATAACGACGAAATGTTTGTAAAATAATAATGGATTGGCATCATCGTGGCAAAGATTAAGGGACAATTGCTGCAGTGACAATGTGGGTAAACGTGGTCAACAGGCCTGTGGCCTTTTGGCTCCGTCTCTACTCGACCTCTTACTTATGCTTGGTTAGCTAACCAGAAGCTACATCCAACAAAGACTGAGGGGTAGCGGTAGCGCGACCACATGTTAACGCAACCATATTAATGTGAGCCCGTCTCCAGCACAGGGCTCGGTGCCGGCTGGCAACTGCTCCATTCCATGCCCGAGAATAGTCCATACCCCTGAATAAACAACGCCAGGCTCAGCGCCGCCGTAATTCTGTGGCATCCAATCACCTGGCGTGGGTAAAATGGCGGTGAATAAGTGACAGTGGTGGCCTGGCGGCAGCCGATAGCGCAGGCTCGGACGACCAGCCGTGTGGCGTCCCCTGTATCGATCGCCGCCGGGCACGGGCGTGGCTCGCGTCCCACGGCACCCGTCTGGGGCGAGGGGGGCGAGCCTTCCCCGCGCCTGTGTGACGACACCCTGTCACGAGTCGGCGCCACACATTGGGGGAGAGGGCTGTGTGCACAATGGGATGGGTGGGGTTGTCACGAGCCGGCGCCGCACAGCGGGGGAGAGGGCTGTGTGCACGATGGGATGGGTGGGGTTGTCACGAGTCGGCGTCGCACAGTGGGGGAGAGGGCTGTGTGCACGATGGGATGGGTGGGGTTGTCACGAGCCGGCGCCGCACAGTGGGGCAAGGGGTTTTGTGCTTGATGGGATGGGTGGGGCTGTCACGAGTCGGCGTCGCACAGTGGGGGAGAGGGCTGTGTGCACGATGGGATGGGTGGGGTTGTCACGAGCCGGCGCCGCACAGTAGGACAGGGGGTTGTGTGCTTGATAGGATGGGTGGGGCTGTCACGAGTCGGCGTCGCACACTGGGGGAGAGGGCTGTGTGCGCGATGGGATGGGTGAGGTTGTCACGAGCCGGCGCCGCACAGTGGGGGGGGGGGGGGAGAGGGCTGTGTGCATGATGGGGTGGCTGGAGCTCCACTGCGGGGCTGCGCTTGTGTCTCCACGGTGTTTTTTGGAACTCAACATGGGGCCCTTGGGTGTTATGTAGGCGGATTTTTTTCTTCCCTGGCTTGGCCCGGAAACTTTCACAAAATAATAAATGTGCGATTCGCTGTTAAAAACATGTCCTAGGACACCGTGCCGAACACCCGTTTTGTGCCGGCCTGTCGCACTGCTCTCGGAGCCGCCACTGTGCTTCCCAAGTGATCCGTTTTGAACCGGACCATCTTTCTGCTTTCTGAACCGCTACTGTGCTCCCAAAGTGATCTGTTCTGCATCGGTCCACCATGCCGTTGTCGTAGCCGCACTGTGCTCCCCCGAGTGACCCGTCCTGCACTGGTCCACTATGCTGTTGTAGCCGCTACTGTGCCCCCCGAGTGATCCGTTCTGCACCGGTCCATCATGCTGCTCTCGCAGCCGCTACTGTGCTCCATGAGTGATCCGTTCTGCACCGGTCCACCGCGCTGTTCTCGGAGCCGCTACTGTGCTCCCTGAGTGCAGCAACGCTCCATCGCGCTGGATTCCGGATCCCGTCACCAAGATCCGCCATACGCGCGGGTCGTTTGAGACGAGAGTGGCTCCGTCCCTCCCTGCTTCACTGGCGCCGGGACGTCCCGGCTCTTCGCTCTCCGACGGCGTCTCATCAATTGTGAACAAGTGACCTGGCGGGATGGCATTGCGTCGCGGAGGTCGTCAATGGTTATTAAATTCTTAGCATGCGCTGGGACATATTTAGACCACGCCTGTGTCCGGTTTTGTCGAGTGGCATGCGATGTCCCCCCGAGGTCTAGCTAGCACGCGCCTGCCAATGGCCGCCAAAGCTGGTCTTCCTCTCAAATGGTAGGCGTTTTTGCCTGAGCCTCTGCACTTCGCTACCCACCACTGACTCTGAAGTCGGTCCTGTATTGTGTTAGGTTCCGAGTCAACCCAGCCGCCGTTTCGGCTTCTGCGTGCGCTCCATGGTGATTGTCTTCATTCGCGGGGGTGGGGGGGAGAGTGGTCTCACAAGCTATTTGCACCACGCACCTTGCCGGGTTCGGGGAGGATCTGGAGTACCTCAGGCTGAATGGGCAAACGATCTCGGGGAATTGCTAGCGGGTGAGTTTTTTGTTGGCGTTGGCTCTTGCGATATGAAACATGAGCCAAGCAGGCAGTGATTCAGTCCATGAATGTCATTCGACAACCATTGCCTTTTTCAAGTTCGAATTAAGTTCAATCAGAATCACTTTCTTTTCGTCAAAATGAGCGATGATTATGCACGATATTTATGATGTATCATGTAGATATATATATATATATATATATATATATATATATATATATATATATATATATATATATAGCTCGCTAGAGACTGGCAGAAATACGCCGCCGCAAATCCCGAGCAGACGAGTGCACTTCAACTTGAAGTGTGTTTGCTTGTGACACACATGGAGCTGTCCTGAAAGGAATTGTGCCCGATGACAATATTGAACTTTTCAGCGGAATGTGCGGAAAGCTGTGTCTTTGCTCCTGCTTCCATTATTTTTTTTTCTTTTAACGCTTCCATCATTCTGGTATATTTTTCCCACTTCATGGGAAGCGAGTACTGTATGCAGAAAGCGGAGTCATTATTATAGCCGCGTTTCAGCCCACATAACTACGGAAATGTGGACCAGCAAAACGGTGGTTTTCGATGGATGGACTCAGGTTTTCGGAACTAGAGGAGCTGTTTTTGAACAACAATTGTTTTGCTGCCCCCCTAACAATACGAAAAACTGCAACGCTAAGTCCCTTTAACGTTACGTATGCGACACTCCCCATCACACTTGTTTGGCCAATGCTCCGTTGTTTCTCGCGTTTTCAATCGTTTTTGATGCAGTGCTTTGGAATAAGGAATAAGAATAAGGTAACGAATAAGAGGTACTTCCTAGACAAACCATCGGCAAACGACGGCCTGCAAAAAGCGTGCAGCTGCCTGCATCCACTGCGTACGCTCCTATCTCGTACTTCCGTCGCCATGCGTCCGTGCATACTGAGGTGCCCCAGATCGAGCCGGGCGTCAGCACATCCTAGGACGCTCCAGATGGAACCAGGCGTCAGTACACGCTGGGCCGCCCCAGATAGTGCGTCAGCACATTGAGGCGCCCCACATCGGGCGTCAGTACAAGGACGCCCCAGATGGAGCCGGGGGTCAGCACACGCAAGGACGCCCCAGATGGAGCCGGGGGGTCAGCACACACTGAGGCGCCCGAGATGGAGCCGGGCGTCAGCACACACTGAGGCACCTGAGATGGAGCCGGGCGTCAGTACCTGCTGGGGCGCGCCAGATCGGGCGTCAGCACACTGAGACGCCCCACATCGGGCGTCAGTACACCCTAGGACGCTCCAGATGGAGCCGGACGTCAGCACACTCTGCAGCGCCCCAGATGTAGCCGGGCGTCAGTGCTGACCGTCACCCGGCCTTTCCAGGATCATCCACGAGAGTGGCTTCACTGCGGAGGACTTCAAGCAGTACCGTCCAGTGGTCTACAGCAACACCATCCAGTCGCTGGTGGCCATCCTGAGGGCCATGCCCAACCTGGGCATCCAGTTCGCCAACAACGAGCGTGAGGTGAGGGGCGGCCGGGCGGCCGCCGGAGCCAGACGCGGTCCACGTCACGCTGCCGGGCTTAGGCTGACAGCGAGTCAGGCTGACAGGCTGCAGTGTCAGGCTGGGCCAGGCGCTAGGGGGGGAGGGATGATACAGCACCCGATCACCCGGCTGCATGGCGTCATGCTGGGTCAAGCGCTATTTTCGAACGGTAAAACCGGTGTATAGCGGGAGGCCGCTATTTTGTAGCGTCATTTTTAGCGCTAGCATCTAGCGCTATTTTCTAGCGCTATTTTCCAGCGGATTAGGCGTAGCGCATCATCGCCAGCTTCTCGTCCGCCCGACGCGCGCGGGATTGGTGTTGACGCGCTCGGCCGACTGGCTAGTGTGGAGGTTCTCCAGGCGGGCACCGGCTCCAGGGTCGGCCAGTGCCCTGGGGCTGCAGGCCGAGCCGCGGCCCGTCCGTGTCAGGGCTCGCATAGGTCAGGGGTGAGCGCGACGGCGGCCATCAGCGGGAGCGAGTGGGTGTGGCTGCCCAGGGCAGAGCCAGCGAAGCGTCGACAAGAAGACGCCGCAGGGGGCGCGCGGTGAATTGCGTGGTGGCGAGATGACTATATGACAGCAGCGCGGCGTGAGTGGGTGGACGTGCGATCCACAGCCTCGTCAGAGATGACAGAAGCTCTGCAAAATAATTCGTATTTATAGAATTGGTTTATATATATATATATATATATATATATATATATAACTACCTTCCTCCCACTCCCTTCCTTCCTCCCTCCTTTCCTCCCTCCCCTCTCTCTCTCTCCTTCACTCTTCTTCTTTCTTTTTTCTCTCTCCTTTTCTTTTTATTTTCCGGGACTGACTTGAGTTTTTACCTTGCGGTAGTTACGTTTTCTGACGTTTCTTTTTTGTCTCTGGGGTTTTTCAGTCAAACGCTCATTGGTGGCTCAGCGTTTTTCCATTCCAGGAATGCGCAGTATAGTTCTTTTTGTCCTGGCTGCGTTTTTTCACAAACATTTTCATGGGGTCCATGTGTTGGCGATATAAACATACTACGCTATCGTAAAAACGCTGCAAGTTTTTGACATGAAGATCGTACAGCTTTTATTACTCGCGAGGCTTGTTTTGTGACATCCGCAACAAGCGAAGGAGTAACAAAGAAAATAACAAAAAAGAGCAAAAATTGCAAAAACGCATTAAATTTCTGGAATGTTCGTCAAAAGAAGCATGTACAAAGTTTGACACAAAATTTCAGCATGCTTTGCACGGTATTTAGCTAAGGAAAAGTGTAGAACCGTCCACCATGACATTTTCAAACACCGCCTTTTATAACACCAAGTTTAAAATAAATTTTGTAAGCTCCTGGTGCTGCGTTTCCTATGTCCGACGGTTTGGTGCGCCGTCTTTGACGCTCCCGCGCCACTGCCGGCCCTCGCTGCGCGCCTGTATCGAGCGCGCTCATTGGTGGCACTTGCGGCGTTGCGTGAAGATCGTTCTGCCTTGTCATGTCAACACTCTTGGGCTTCCGGCCGTGCGCGCTATACCCATTGCTGGAAATGTCAGCATAATGATGTGCCGCGAACCGCGGCGTGTTCTTGTTATCGCAGTAGGTCGGACGCCGGTCGCGCCGAGCCGCCCCGCACGTCCAGCGGACTGCGTATCGACGGCACGTGTAACACTTCCGCCTCGTGCCTTGCAGCTGGTGCGTGTTATCATGACACGGGTGTCAGGCGGTGCCATGCTGCCGCTCAGTCCACCCGCAGCATGCTGTCGGTGGCGCGCGCACGTCACGCGCAATTTCCGCGCCAAATGCCGTCACTTCCTGGCGTCACGTTCACTCGAGCGCCACAAGGCCCTGCCATGGTATCTGCCATCCCAATGTCTGCCTGCTGCGCCGATCTGGTTCTGCTCGCTTTTGTCCACTCCGGCTCCGACCCGAGGCAGACTTCCTCGCTGTCATCCAGCAGGCTGACAACTCTCTGGAAAGCCTGTCCGGCTGGGTCATCCCTGCTGCGGCCTGGTCGTGTCGTCTGCGGTTGCCATGTCTGATCATTCAGGACCGCGCCCACGTCCAACTGGCGCCACAATCATTGATGGCCATTGATGACCATCGATGCCCGCAGCCATGTTGACGGCCAGCAGTCGTCACCAAGACCGCTCCCACGTCTGACTCGCACCGACTCCCGCTGTTCCGGGGCCCCCTTTTCTAATACCCTGCCGCGTCTGCACCGCTCTCTCGCGCTCGCCGGCGCCGAGCGAGGCGTCCTCGAGCTGCCGGCAACAGCGCCCTCGAACGCGGCGTCCGCCACGCATCCCAAGCAGAACGGCGGCGGCAGTGGCGGTCGCCACTTCCGTCTCCGCATCGATCGCCGCCGGCCGCCCACTCGGCGGCCAGCGCGGCCGTCACCGCGCGGCCGGCGTCGGCCGTGCCCCGCGGCATCGTCCCCCCCCCCTCCCCCGGCTCAGCGACCGGCCCCGGCGACTGGCCGCCATACGAGGCATCGATCGGCGCCTCCGCCGGCGCCGCGGGCCACGTCGTCGACAACATGGCGCGCGCCGCGACCGCCGCGTGCCGGTCGATGGCCGCGCCGGGAGCGCCGCGCGCCGCCGACGGTGGGTCACGCGGCGAGGCGCGGCGCATGGAGGGAGGGGGGGGGGGAGAGGGGACTGACGACGGAGGGAAGTGGGGCCGGTCCGCCGGCGGCGAGGCTTATGGATCATTGATCGCACTGCGTCCTGGCGCAGGAAATGCTCAGCTCTGGCGGGGCTCATCAGAGGTGCGCCGGTTTTGTGCTGATGGCAATCAGAGACACGGGGCGGCCATCTGGATCCATTAATGGGGTCAGCGCTTCGGAGGCCTGGTGCCGCGTTCGCATGCTGCGGAGGTCGGCGCTGTTCTAACGTGAGCAAACAAAATCCCAGCTTCAGTCAAGTTGAATTGCCACATTTGCAAAAAGTTGTTCGACCGTGACGAAGTCTCACTTTGTTGGCATTTCCAAATGCCGCAGTTCCCGTACTGAAATGACAATGCCTGCGAAGAGGCCGGGCAAGTAGAGCCACCCAGTGCTCGTTTGTGATTATTGCTGAACTTCACGACTAGGCCATCAGACAGCGTCGCCGACTGAGCCGTCGCTGTTCAATTTGTCACGGCGGCTCGGCAGACGGCTTGCAGTGACATTCGCTGATGGCGCACTACGCGGAATGGCCGAGCTGGGCTGACGCGCCGCCGTCTGCCCTCTGACCTGCCCTCCGCTCTCCGACCTGTTCCCTGTTCTCTGACCTTCCTTCCGCCCTCTGACCTGTTCTCTGCCCTCTGACCTGCCCTCCGCCCTCTGACCTGCTCTCTGCTCTATGACCTTCCTCCGCTCTTTGACCTGTCCTCTTCCCTATGACCTTTTCCGTGCCCTCTGCCCGGCCCCTGCCCTCTTATCTGCCCCTGCGACCCGCCCCAGTCGACTCGACATGCCCGTCCTGCGGAGTCTGCAGCCATCTGGCGACCGAGCTGTGAGATGTCTTTATGGTCGGTTGCCCAGGTCAGACGGACTGGTGGCGCTCACAGATCACTTGGCGTGACCGGCACCAGCTGGTGCCGCTGCACCACGCCCCGCCCAAGACGTGGCAGCCCTAGCTACGGCCGAAATGACGCGACCCCCCGTGCCCACCCGCGTTCTGAACGCCTGACGAGGGGTTCAGAACGCGTGAGCACGGCTCTGCTGATCGGATTGGCGGAAGGGACATCTGTTCGGGATGGGGGCAGGCTATGGGGCCTGTCGCAGCCCGAGCAGCAAAACGGGGCAGATATATGGCGTTGTAACCTAAGACAACGTTTAAGTCAGGGAAGCCTGGTGCCAGAGGCTTGTCCGTGCTGAGAGACGAGGAGGGCGGGTCGCGTATTGGCGGTCCGGTGGTCAGGGTCCGATTGGTTTTGTTACGCCTGCTCGTAACTTTGTGCGGGAGGCGGCCGCACCGGCTGGCGAACGTTTATCATACCGACAGGAAGGCCATTTTCAGCCGGCGCTTTATGAGGTGGAGGTTCGGATTTAAAATGAAAAACAGGACACAAATTTATGAGACGCGGAAGGAACTAAAGCGCAGTCATTAAATTTTATGTTTATATATATATATATATATATATATATATATATATATATATACATATATGTATACATAAATGTGTATATAATTCCATAAGCGGGATTTATGTGTTCCGCGCGCCTCATGAAATGGTGTGCTGTGTATTCATTTCAAAGGTAGCCAAAAGTGCTGTTGAAAAGTAGATTGGCCCGTCTGCTTTTTGGGATGTTCGCACAGTCCCGCGTCGCCGTCGTTGATGACCAGAGGCCATGCTTTCAAAAAAGGCGGTCGCGGTCTATCTTTTCCCGTCGATTTGACGCCACCGATTATGATACACGGTCGGGCAACAAAGCCGGGCCAAGAAAAGACGTCACCAAAAAGCAGACCACGCGGGCGTTTCGGGTGTGCTCGCCGCGCACTAAGGACGTTCTATTCTATGTGACGTAGCGTAGAACCTTAACTGGTCATGTTCGCGGCGCAACATGTTTACTGCTAGTATTTTTGTAACTTTTATGGCAATAACTACGCACGTGAGACACTAACACTTATGTTTTCAGGCACTGCGTTCGGTCCTAACCATGGGAACTTCAAATTGTTCTGTTTGTAACGTGTAGTACACCTTTTCTTCTCGCGTCGCCGGACCTGGGCGCGCAAATTGACTTGTGTATGAATCAGATGTGCGCCATTTCTGTCTCACTTTGCTTAACGAACCGAAAAGTATTCTACGCGTCTAGCAGAAAAGTTGCAGACTTTGTGGGGATGACGTCATGGATATCGTCGATGGTATATATTCTTTGTCGTTCTAGCCGCTGCGAACACACCCCTCGCTACGAGAAAACGCTTTAGGGCACAACTCGTGGTGGACAATTGTGCTGTTATTGTAAAGAGACGACCGATTTGACGTGGAATAAAAACGCTTTCCACCTCCGCCGTTTTTTCGACTA